AACCAGAGTTTGTTTGTCCGCTCCCCTAAAATTCGCAAGTATTCATAAAATGTTTGTAATTTTTGGTTCAAAAATCACCTAATAAAGGCGGGTCAAGTTTCCAGTGAGATTTCAAGATATGATGTTTCTGTTTGTGTTTCTGTTTGTCAAGTTTCCAAGATGTGATGTAGTGGGTGGGGCGGGAACATATTTGGCGGGGACAGAAGGTGATAACAGCTGATAAGATCCGATAAGGGGCGTTAGAACGCAAGTGTCGCGAAATTCATAGCGCGCGTTCCAGCAGCATTGAGGCGCTGTCCTTTAGAAATGATGACGAATGGGTGACGAAGGCATGTTCGGGGGGAGGGGGGAGGGGCGGAGAGTGATGCTGATATAAGGGTAATATAAATATAAACGAGCGGCTTGAGGACTGGGAGTCACTAAAGTTGTTGTCTAGATGCGCGATGAGGAAGCATTCCATTTCAATCGCGATATCTTTGTCAATATTGAGATCTTTTCGACCGCTAACCTCTCCAATCTTTACAAAATGGTCGGTGTTCATGGGATTTTCATGTTTTCTGATACCACTCAACCCACCAAACTCCGCCCACTTTTCCTCCAAAATTGCCGTCGAGCGGGGGTATATAGCTACTCCGAAACGGTAAAAATTCTCGAAAATTTCCTATAATTTCCTCTATTTCCACCATTTCACCCCTACTTTTACCCAATTTTACCTATCTTCCCACAACCTCATTTTCTAGGGGGGGGGCACTTTCACCACAAACTCACATGTAATTTCACGCGACTGAAGCGGATACGACCCCCCCCTATAAACTCAACCAGGTACGACCCCCCGTTGTTACTAGTAACAAGTAACAACGTAGGGTTGACCCTGTTTCGAACTGCGATACCAACAGTTCGTTGATCTCATATGCAACAAAAGGGAGTTTCATATAGTAGAGGGCATCGCCATAATCATACATGACGGTAGAATGACATATGTACTATTAACACCTGATTTCTCCTTGGGTTTATTGGTGGTTGGTATTTCGCCTCCCCTCCCCATTCTCCCTTCCTCCGCCTCAACCGTTGCCCTCCAGCTGCCACTGAAGCACTATGCTTCGATAAAATGTCCAGAATACCATTATTAAATTGAACACATCATGAAATCGAAAAGTGAGGGAGGGGGGCGTCAGCTTTTGTGAAAACGTAATATTTTTATGGATGGCGATCACCTAGTGAATACTTTATTTAGTGACAGGCTTTACGACAGTTTACATGTTTCCAAATGTTGATTATTGATCTGAGGAAATTCTTCCTAAATTTCTAGCACTTCGTTTTCATATCTTACAGTAATTCTTGAAGATTCGCGCATTCATGATAGTAACTCTGCTTAATAAAATGCAAACCGCCAAATGCTCAAATACTCAGGACCAGGGATGATTTCTTGTGCTATGGTGATTGCACCTTTATCCTAAGATTGTGTTTCCAGGGACGATCAGGGACGCAAAGAGAGGCGGACGAAGGCGATCAAGTGACATGCCGGCAATCCCATGATCGCGCATTTCCTAGCCTAATTTGTGTTTATTGCTTTTGTTGAAATTGCATTTAGCGGAATAATGTCTTAGTCAGCGGCTAGCGCATCCCCGCCTCTGCCCTTTGCCTAGACCGCTAAATCTCACAACTCTGACAATCCAGTTTTGTCACAAATTAAAATTAGGGCCAGGAGGTTCTCCCATCGTTGAAACAACTTATCAGTAACAATGTACAATCTAAATAATAAAATAATATAAACAATGTATACTCATCCTACTTGAGAAGGGGCAGAGTCAGCCGTCGTGTCAGGCCAATTTGCAAATCACCTCGGCACTTCTTACAAGGGAAGGATACCAGGTCGAAGTGGCCATTTGTAACGAGACATACACCACTAGATGTGTTTTTGGACGCTGATCTCGAATCTGCTCTCCAAATCTGGGAAACGATTTTCTGAACGTAGTTATGAAGCGAGATAGTGCAGTGGCAGCGGGCCCGGGCCGACGAACAAGAGGTCGTGGATCGAATTCTTGGCGATATTCTTACTTTTGCTTTTCTTGAAAA